GAAATATCCCACGATTTAAAAATTATCCAAATACTTATCTCCCAAATTATACCCAGTAGATCGAAAAGAGGCATTAATGAATAGGCACTATTGGAATGGATAGCGGGAACACCAGATCATGATGATTTCATAACTGTCCAAAATTAAATCGATGATTTAATACAAAATAATAACGAACAATTCGATATTAACTCTAAAATGTATAAAGAGATAAAATCTTTATCTGAAGAATTCAAAACAGCCTTTAAAGATCAAGAAATTCGGCTTAGAAAATATCGTCTGCGCTTGCTTACTTACGATCCTAGGAATTTAATGGACACAATTACACTCGCCAAAATTGATGGATTTAATACTAAAATTCTAAACAATGACGATATACAAGAAATTTATAAGCACGAAGATAGACCTGTAATTATAACAGACCTTTTAGATATATCTGAATTTAAAATCGCTTTGCATCAAGATCTTATTATAATTTACATAAAATACCCTATTATTACCGACCGTTTACAATTCAAGATCCATTTCAAATGATGATGGAAAATTTTTAATTGATAATCACGTCGCAAAATGTAGAAATAAGTACTATGTAATGTCAAATTTTAAGACAGAAATATTTAATAATTATTGCACACTTAACCCAGAAGGTTCTTGTTTCACCAGATAACTAAATGGAGAAAAATCTTTTTGTAACAAAATCAGAGAAATAAAATAAAAATGTTAATGTAATCCAAGATGGAGCCATTTTTGTAAATGGAGAAAATACAGTTAATGACACTCATTTAAATGGGTCATATTTAATTACTTTTAATGGCACCTCTATAATTAATAATATTTCATACACCAATGTAGACAATAAGATATTGGAATACATCACAGCTCGGAAATATACAGATTTCTTAATATCCAAATATATTATATCTAATGATTCGGAACTCTCATTTGATAATATTAACATACTAAATCCATTTATTCAAATTAAACAAACTGAAATACCAGTTATGTTAATATTAATCATATTCACATTTATATATTTAATTATAATGATTATAATTAAATTCAGAAAATTTTTATTTATTTATTTATTCGTATATAAATCGAACCAGAAAGCAATATTTACGATATTGAGATAAATAATATCCCCGACAATGAAAATACCCTAGAAGAAAATATCATTGTCGAATTAACCAATCAATTACATTCAATATACCCAACAGTTCCAATGAATCGGGACGATTCAATTTAGAATGAGGGGAGTTATATGACACATTATTTAGGGGCTCTTACCCAATTTATAAACAACTTTGAGCCGAGAGCTAATTTCCAAATAACTCTGACAGACCCGAGATAAATCCGTGGTCAGCTATTTCTGCCAAGCAGGCCTCCAAATCATTCCCACCCAGATCAATTTCACGCAGTCCGAATCAAACGGATGCCGTAAACATCCAAACCGATATTGTAAACAATCGGAGTCCCAAGCGAGCCCTGAGTCCGCTAACGTAAACAAAAGATCCCCAAAGCGAGTCCCGAGTCCGCTAACGTAAACAAAAAGATCCCCAAAGCGGTCCCTAAACTCCGCTAATGTAAACACCAATTTCCGGCCAAGATTGGACTTCGAATTGATTGGCAAATTGCATCATCCTATTTCCGACTCTTGAGTCATTCTCTTTATCAATTTTTGGGGATAAAATCTCTTAAGCCGAGGTTTGATTATTGATCATTGAACTAGAGAGCAGGCAGTCCGTTTTTGAGATTCGAATCGAGCAGTACAACAATTCGAGAAATAATACAAGAGCAGTGAATTAAATAAGTTCGGCCTATTGAAAAATTGTAATAGTGAATAAGTGATTGTTAAAAATAAAAATACATTTTTTTAATCAATTCACTAGTGAGAAATTAAATTTGCACACTTCAGGCGCCTTGGCAAAATGCTTGTACCAGGCATAATATTACATATGGGCATTTCCAGAGGTCTCGAACGTACGTTCGTACGCACTTTGTACCAAAAAATAAAAATAATTAAATAAACGTTTTCGGAATTTTTTTTTTTTTGCTATTCGATAGAATTTTTTTAGCTCTTTGTTTAGTGTAAATTATGGGGTTTATTGAGCTATAATTTTCATAATATTGGCAAAAAACATGCGATAGCGAACGTATACAAAATGGAAGTCGACTTTGGCTTAATCTAGTAAAATGCAAAAATCTGCAAATTGGGACAGCATATTCTAAAGCAATAACTTTACTTTTAAAATGGATTCATGTAGCTTTCTATCGAGTGTGTTCCCAAGAAAATATCTCCATTTGTTTTGTATACCCTTGCAGAGAGTATATTGATTTCAGTCAGAAGTTTGCAACGCAGTGGCCCCACAAAGTATATATATTCTTGATAAGCATGACTAGACGAGTCGATCTAGCCATGTCCGTCTGTCCGTCCGTTTCTATGCAAACTAGTCTCTCAGTTTTAAAGCTATCGGGCTGAAACTTTCTCAAAAGTCTTATATCTTTTGAAGGTAGTATTTAAGTCGGAACCAGCCGGATCGGACAACTATACCTATAGCTCCCATAGGAATAATCGAAAAAAAAAATATTTAATAATTATATCTTTGGTCGTTTTTAACATATAACCTCCTAAGCTTGGAAATAACATTTTTTAATTAGTTTTGAATTTCGAATTAAATTTATTTTATATCATATATAGCTGCCTTAGGAACGATCGGAAAATTGGTGGGAAAGTAATATGAAACAAATTATAGAGTCGGTGTTTTCTGACATATTATCTTATACTATTGAGAATATCATTTTTTGTGTTTATACCCGTTACTCGTAGAGTAAAAGGGTATACTAGATTCGTCGGAAAGTATGTAACAGGCAGAAGGAAGCGTTTCCGACCCCATAAAGTATATATATTCTTGATCAGGATCACTAGCCGAGTCGATCTAGCCATGTCCGTCTGTCCGTCTGTCCGGATGAACGCTGAGATCTCAGAAACTATGAGAGCTAGGCTATTGAGATTAGGCGTACAGATTCCTGAGCTTCTTACGCAGCGCAAGTTTGTTTCAGTAGACTGCCACGCCCACTCTAACGCCCACAAACCACCCAAAACTGTAACTCCTACAGTTTTGATGCTAGATAGAAAATTTTAACTGAAATGTATTGTTCTCATCAATACCTATCGATTGACCTAAAAAAAAGTTTGCCACGCCCACTTAAACGCCCACAAACCGCGAAAACCTGTGACGCCCACAATTTTCATGCTAGATAAAAATTTTAACTGAAATGTATTGGTGTCGTCAATACCTATCGATTGATCCAAAAATAAATTTGCCACGCCCACTCTAACGCCCATAACGCTTAAATCTGTCTACCGCCGGTAGGTGGCGCATTTTAATCTCGCTTTGCTGCTTGCATATCTCCATTTCCCTTTGAGTAACGGGTATCTGATAGTCGAAGTACTCGACTATAGCGTTCTTCCTTGTTTTTTATTGAATTAAGTACCGGTCGCGAACGTACGATTTTTCCATGTTGTTTTATTAATAGATAATTTAACATATTTTTGCCCTCTTTGGGTTTTTATCTTCTTATTCGATTGCAATAAAGAGATTTGATAGAAAAGGTGCAAAATACATAAAAATGCCCTTAAAAGTAGCTAAAAATAATAAAAAGTAAATTTTTTCAGTTTTCAGGGAAATTTCTTCAACAAAACAATATGGCCATTTATTTATGTAAATTTGCAAAAAAAAAACATGATTTTGAAGGTTTATCTATTTTGGTCCTTGTTGACCATTTGGCGGATTTTCACATATATTAAATAGAACAAATTTGAGAAGACTGAAATATGTAACAATAAAACCTGAAAGTTTCGTTTCAATTGAACATTTCTTTCCTTCCAAAAAAAATCTACGAAAAAATCGATTTTTGTATGCTTGTAAAGCAGGCTCCCTCCTTAAGGTATACCATTTCGAAATCTGAGTCCTTTTGATTAAGTTTAAGGGTCGTAAACTTTAAAAGAAGGCCCATTTCTGTAGACATTCGCAACATTAAAACATTAAAACATATCGTTCATTCCTATAGGCTGTTTACGTGATTTCACCAACACGCCACATAACGTGAAACCTCGGTGGCGCTAGTGAAATTTTTGTATGAATGTTTCTACGAGTACGACAGGGATGGGTCGTACTCTATCAAGTTTGCTAATTATTTGTTTATAACTTTTTAATAAATGGTCCGATTTGAGTAATTTTTTGTATGTATATGGGTATTGATAAAAACAAGATCGAATTTAAATTTGTACAAAATATTAAAAAATATGGGCGCTAGCCGAGTTTTAGCGTCATGGGCGATTATGGGCGTTAGATTGGGCGTGGCGCTATGCTGCGCAGGAAGCCCTAGAATCTACACGCCAAGTCCCAACATTCTAACTCTTACAGTTTCCGAGATCTCAACGTTCATACGGACAGATTGACTGACGAACAAGTCAGGCATTGACGAAACTAATAAATTTCAGTTAAAAAGTTGTATCTAGCACGAAAATTGTGGGAGCCACAGGTTTGGGCGGTTTGTGGGCGTTAAAGTGGACGCGCAGGAATCTACATACCAAATCTCAACTTTCTAGCTCTTATTGTTTCCGAGATCTCAGCTTTCATATGGACTGACGACAGACGGACATGGCTAGATCGACTCGGTTAGTGGTCGTCATCAAGAATAAATATATTTTATGGGGTCGAACACGCTTCCTTCCTTCAATAATGATGATGTTAACACTAGGAAATTCTTTGTCTCTGTAAAACATTCTAATAGTAACTAAAGCAAACCAATAAGCGGTGTTATTTATTGTTGACCACAGAAAAATAGAGGGGAGGTATGTATACCAAATACTGAGACAGTTTTGAGCACCTCTGCCTTATACCAACAAATCATGAACTGAAATGATATGATTTTAGAAATTATTTATACTTAACATTTTATAGACATGCGATACGTAAATAATTTTTGATTCTAAATTGCAGAGGACGGGGACCGTTAAAAACTACTATGGATGTTATCAATGCAGCTAAGAAAATATCAAAAGCTGGTACAAAGCTGGATAAACTTACCAGAGGAATTGCAGAACAATGTCCAGAAAGCAGCACAAAAAAGGACTTGCTTGCCTATTTACAACGTATTGCCCTATATTGTCATCAAATCCAAATAACGTCAAAAGTAAAAGCTGACGTTCGTGGGGTAAGAATCATTTGAATATAATATAAAAGTAATAATAATATCATTGATATTCATAATTATTTTAGCTGGATAGCGCAACATAGTTGATTCAAGCCGCCAAAAATTTAATGAATGCGGTTGTATTAACAGTAAAATACTCATATTTGGCCTCGACGAAATATACTAGGCAAGGAACTGTGTCTGTAAGTTTCGTCATTAAAATAGGTCATGGAGATTTAATAATTTGAATTTATTTTGTAGTCTCCAATTGTAGTATGGAAAATGAAAGCTCCAGAAAAAAAACCTTTGGTTAGACCTGAAAAACCGGAGGAAGTTAGAGCAAAAGTTCGCAAGGGGTCTCAAAAAAAGGTTCAAAACCCTATACACGCATTGTCTGAATTCCAAAGTCCCGCTGATGCTGTTTAAAATTAATTATTTGCCCATATCCATAAATTATTGAGATTGTCTTTTCTCAAAAGCGATTCGGACGCTGCTACTTATCCAATTTTATCAAAAAACACATTCTTATATTAACATATATAATTGACATTATAATAAAATATTCAAATATACGAAAACAATCTTTTGATAATGCATTTTATATATACTGGTTAAGTTTTCAATTTGAAAAATGTATAAAAAAAAGCTTCGCCTGCAAATAAATTAAGAGAGGAAATAGAGTTATATAAGTCGAAAGTTTAAAAGCATATTAGTCACCTATTTCTTAAATGTATGAATGCGGTGCATAGCTCCATTTGTGGTTGTTGGGGTGGGGTGGCCTGATCGCTGAAAATAGCTAAAGTCCCAAGAATCGCAAAAAACACGGGGGTACTTTGGGGTTTTTTGCGCGACGTGCATAGGTGTACACTTTGAAATAAGAACTAGTTAAGCTTAACTTAACTTAAGCGCTCCAGAGCGGAGCTGCGACTTTGGGGAGAGATGGAGAGGGAGAGTGTAGACATCTGGATATACATATAAGTATTAAGTATATTTAAGTTAGCATATAAGTCATTTAATAGACCTTATACATGTATACAAGTTTTTTTTAATATTTCCAGGATTATTTACATCTATATCTATATTTAAATGAGGATAAATGATAAATAAAATAAATGAGCATAAATCTAATCCAGGTGGAAAACTAATAAAAAATAAGAAACTGAAAACAAGAAATGCGTGCGTCTTTGTGTGTATACATGCATTTTTAGCTGACAGGATAAAACAGATTCGTTTAAGCCTCCTTAACCAAGTCCCCCCATTTTTTCCTATTCCGGTTTGTCCCTCGTAATTTGATTGAATTGAAATTGTTATCTTAGCAGGACAGCCAAGTGCGGCCCTCGAAGTTATTGGAAAAGGCAAAGGCAGAATCTTAAACAAAGGTAAAAGCAATGTCGCTGAAGGCAAGGGCAATATAGCTGAGATTGAATTAAAAAATTTGTTTATTAATTCCATAAGTGGAACCGCTTTACGGGTTGGATAGCTTGTACGCATTTGTGTGTGTATACATTTACAGCTGATGGGGAAAATGAGATTCGTTTAAATATAAATTATTTATAATATACACTGATAGTCATGTAAAAAATATTTCATTTGCCAATCTTAAACAGCTTTAATACATTTCTTTCAAAGGGCAAAACTGGTTTCAAATTAAAAAAATTTCTTTACTATGTCTAAACAAATAAAATTGTTTAAACAAGTAGTTTTACGGCTTTCCCTCTGCCTAGTCTCCAACACCCATGTAAAGTTCTAATGAACGCAAGAATACTTAAAGCAAGATATGCGTGCGAATTAGTTTTATTCGTTATAAAAAAGTATAATTTTTATTTTAAAATTTTATTTTATTGGTGATTGACCTTAATTCATAAACTCACTAATACATCAAGACACGTTTACTTCTTATTATTAGGTATGACCAGAGCTTGCAAGTAACTGTTGACCGTTTCTCGCTGTCTGCAAATAAGTGTATTTTTCGGACTCTTTACGAAAAGACTCAGAGAGCAACCGATTTATGGGTTCTTGAATGTGCTCGCTCGTGCTCAGAGCGAAACCGTTTTTTTCTATTCTGTTTTGTTCTGGTTGTTCCAAGACCGTTTTGTGGTGTTCAGTGAAGCAAAAGGTCTTTTGCGTATGTATTGGTATACATTCACACGCATAGGCAAGCAAATCGTTAATTGCGATCGTGAATTGAAAAAAAATTTTAAATTGTTCTATTAAACAAATTATATTATTTATTTTTCATAACAACGAAAGTAAATGTGAAGACCGTTTTCGTTGAGTTTTTCGGTCAATCGGTCTTTTGCTGACTCTCATTGTGCGAGCGTTTCTCGTTCCGCTCCTTACGCACTGCTCATTGAAAGAGCGACATACAAAGAAACATAAATAAAGACAGCAAGAGTCTCTTGCTCAGAGCGAGAGCGAGAGCGAGAGAATGTGAACTTTTTCGGTTCTGCTCGCAACGAGAGCGCAAGAAGAAGAAGAAGAAACGGTCAACAGTTATTTGCGAGCTATGGGTATGACCGGACGCGGTTGCAATCCGAGAGCGCATAGTCTGTAGGTGAATTCTATTCCCTTTCGGTACGACTCCGTGCCGACAGCTTCGGCCCATAAGTTACCAAGTGCAGAAGAAGTCTGCGCCCTTGTTTTCGTCCTCTGGTGTTGAGCATTATTCGCCACAGAGCTCTAGCGGCATTTGCGGCCTTTTTGATAGCTTCGAAGATATGTTCCCTGAAAGTCAGTCTCGTGTCTATCATGACTCCCAGGTAGCGCATTGCTCTTGCTGAACGTATCGTGGAGCCTCCGACTTGGATGCTCGCTGTCTCAACCACCTGGTGGCTGGATATGAGTACCGCCTCGGTTTTGTGGTGCGCAATGCTGAGACCTACCGACGAGAGCCACTCTTCGATAATTGCCACTGCTTCGTTTCCGAGTTGCTCTGCTTCCGAAAGGGTTTTGGCCACGATTGCGACTGCTATGTCGTCCGCAAAGCCTATCACGCTCGTTCTTCCTGGTAGTACCAGCCTTATAACTCCATCGTACATCGCATTCCAGAGCAGCGGTCCAAGAACGGATCCTTGGGGTACTCCACAGGTGATCTTGTGCTCCATCGTTCCTCTATCCGTGTCCTAGAGTAGGGTGCTGTCACTGAAGTAGGACTGTACGATGCCTACTAGGGTCTCTGGTACGCCTAGTTGCTGGATTCCTTCCATTTCTAATGTCCAGGGTCACGACTAAGCAGTACTCCTTGCTGCCTCCCCGCCATCTTGTTCCTTCCATTGCCTTCGAAGCGATGTCCTTCACTGTTGAGATTGCATTCACTGTGGATCTGGACTTCCTGAAGCCGAACTGCATGTGTGACAGGTCCCTGGCTGCTGAGATGGCTTCTTACAGTCTGTTACTGATGCACCGTTCTAGTGCCTTGCACTTGGCTTGGGCAGCAGGACCAGCTCTAGGTTGTGGTGGTGGCTCATCTACGATAACCGCGTTCCTCTTTCCCCTTGTATCATCCACCAATTCGTCCAGGATAAAAATATGCGTGCGTGTGTTTTTTTTTTTTTTTTTTTTTTTGTGTTAGTGGTGGTTTAAAGCATCGAAAGCCAACTCGGAGCTGAACTAGCTTGCCGAAGTCTGGGACTCTAACCCAGTAAAAACTCCACCCCCTCCCCGCTTCCCCGGCGGTACTGCCGTTAGGTATTACTTCGCCGGGGGGGAATGCCCTTAGGGCTCTCTAGGATTCTATCCTATTGGAATTTCGCAGTCTTTCTGCGATGCGCAGTTTTTTGAGTACTATTGTGGCCATGTTGCATACCGCAGACCAATTTACTTCTGATTCAAGCATAATGTCCCCAGGTTACAAGCGGCTGGTGTCCTCCCAACCCTTATGCTCAGATCTCTTCGTATATTTTCAATCTGGGACAGACAAAAAACACATGTTCTGCGTCTTCATTATCCGACTCGCAGAGTGGGCAGTGCGGATAACGTTAATGCTTAAACCTATTCAGGTAGTATTTAAAGCATCCATGTCCCGTCAACAGTTGCGTTAAGTAGAAGTCCACATGTCCATGCTTACGTCCCAGCCATCTCTGCAGTTCTGGCATAAGCTTATACGTCCATCGTCCTTTGCTACTATTTACCCACCCCTCTTGCCACTTAGCAATGGTGAGTTCTCTGCACCTTTTCCGTAGGGATTCTGAAATTGCGACCCCTGTGCTGCCTGCGCGGATGCTAGCTAATTCGACAGCCAGCAGATCAATCGGTATGCCTCCCGATATTACCAGTGCCGCGTAATGGGATACCGTGCGGAATGCACTGCATACACTTAGGGCACACAATCTCTGCACGGAGTCGCCGTCTTGCATACAACTTCCATTTTTTGTGGCTCGAGCCCATATGGGAGCAGCGTACATCAGCGTCGATGTGACAGCACTAACCAGTAATCTACGTCCTGGTTGCCTTGGTCCCCGAGTGTTCGCCATAATTCGCGAGATCGCGGCCGCGGTCCTACTTGCCTGCCACTAGCGTACGCTAGATGAAAGTCGCTCCGGTTCGGTCCCCAAAACCCCGTTTGAGCTGGCGCCGCTATTGCGGTGGGGTTGGAAATTGGCCGGTAACTTGGCTTTTTGCTCATCTACCCCTGTATGTAGTGGCGGAGGTGGTTAGGTTGGATTTAAGGATTCAGGATTTGTGTGTTTTTTATTTTAGTTTTGATTTCCTGGGCAACCGACTTCGTAGAAGCTCCCGCTTAGCCGCTGTAGAGCTCGGCGGGGAAAGCTTGCTGTTAAGCTCGCTGGTAAGCTCGCTGGTAAGCTCGCTGTTAAGCGAAACCGCGAAACCAATAAGTCGTGCCCCTTCGGGCATCGTGATCCTAAGTATCCCATTGTACATGACAGTCTATTTCTTCGCATATATTGTTAAAGCACCTGCGTTTGCTCTCTTTTATAGTTTTTTCCAGGGCTCGTCTTTTTTCCCTGAAAAATATTTGAAGTGCCTCAAATTCGGGCCTTCCTCTTGAGCGTTGGTATGCGCGTCTTGCCCTGTGGCAGTCTTTCCTGGCTTCCGCAATGGATTGGTTCCACCAGTATGCAGGTCTTCTTCTTAATAAGGTTTTCCCCCTTCTCTGCATAGATGCATCACAGGCTACTTTGGTGTATTCTGCGATGTGGTTTGGCCTTTCTTCAGCTGAGCCGCTTGTGGAGAGGTCGTCGAACAACATCTGTACCATCTCCACGTCTAGCGTTTCTATTTTGTAACCTGGCACGGTCTTAGGAACTCGTGGTGGGCCACTTCTAGAATTTATC